ATTCTTTCCATTCAGCTCTAGACTTGACTTTCCATTACTGAACTATATTATAACTTGTTAGGGGCAGAGGTTAGCTACTAGAATTTTGTTGAACAGAGGGTGAAATAATATCTCATCAGTGGAAAAGATAACCCCAAAGATTACTGTGTCTGGTCCTGCTGGAAATTAGGCAGTTTGAAGCTAAACCCGCATTCTATGGAACTGTTTATGTATCTAACTTGTCAAATGTTTCTTCAAACTGTTTTCTATATTTTACTGGCTCTCTTTAAACAAGTCAAAGAAAAACTTCAACACATCTTTTTCGTATTGGCATGAGTAATATGTTTACCTTTTTAAACAAGCATCACTTTGAACATTGCTTCTAGAGGTGACCATGGGTTGTACATTCAAAATAAACCACCCCCCTTTAAATTTTCAGTCACCTATGTTTGGATTTTTTAAATATGCAAGTCTTTATAGAAAGGGTTAAAAATTATTTAGAAGCTCTAACTTCGAATAAAACTATGTGCAAGTCCCCTTACAGGAGAATGAGCTATGTTGTATATTTCTAAATCATTACTATATAATCAGAGGTCCCAGTTATGGCTAAAAATGTAGGGAGAATTTCCTCTCTACATAGGGAGAAAATTAAAGTGAGAAGCAAACAAAGCTGAAAGATGAGTCAGTAAAACTGGGAGAGTTCAGAAAAGTGACTCTGAAGTTTGCATATTAGAACTACCTATGGTATATCTGTAAATGTCAGAAGTTTGGGCAAATTAAACCCGAGTCTCTGGGTCTCTCCTTAGCCACTTTTCCTGGGTGTTTTGGACTTCCTGAGCATTCTAATGGTAAAAGAAGATAAGGGACATATTTATATGGCCACCAAACTTAGAGAGGGTTATTTATTACCATTATATTAACAAAAAGGAAACAGTTTAAAAAAAACTACAGGTATATATTTTTTTCATTGCTGGGTCAGAGATTTTTGAGGAAAATGGACCCTACAAAATCAGTTAAAAGCTGCTGCCAAAGGAAGATGAAAACAGTATAAAGATCTCAACAAGCACAATATGAACCAATTCAGGATTCCGTTATATAAACCTCATTTGGCAACACTCTATGACTCATCTACTCAGAAGCACCTCTACTCAGGATGGGCAAAGAGCACTGTGAACTTTAAAAAGCAGGAAAAACATTAAGATGTGAGCCTAAGAATGAAACAAAAATGAAATTAACAGCAAAAGAAAAAAAAAATCTGGTTTCAATACATTTGTAATCTGGAGTTTCAATAGACAAGGAAATTAGGGGGGAAAATCTATTATGTGTTTTCTGTGTGCCATTTTTTTCTTTCCCTTCCAATTTCATCAAAATTTCCAAGGTTCAATCCTCACTACTCACTCACTACTCACTTGCTGAAGTCAAAAACCTAGGAATTATTCTTAAAAATCCCCCTTTCCCTCAACAACCCTCAGTCAATGCAACAGCAGTTCTTGTCAACTTCTCCAGAACATATACTGAAGCTTTATTTCTTTTTTTTCCTTTCTAAAATGATCCCACACCAAAATACGATCATATTTGGCCTGGACTAGTGCTACCACCTCTTAAGGGTCCCCTTGATCCCTCTCCTGACTCCTCGAGAGTGCACACTGCAATCACAGTAGTAAAGGCATAATTATATTAAGTCACTGCCCTCTCTAAAAACCTCCAAAGACTTTTTAAAACTTTTTCTTTTTTTATAGAGGCATGTTTTCTTTCTTTCTTTATTTGTTTGTTTGTTTGTTTTGTTTATACATGCACTGGGTACAGTCAGAAGTGCGGGAGAGTGAGAGAATTCACCAGAGCCAGAGCGGGGAGCAGAACAGGCAGAAGGACCGAAGTACACTGCTGAGGGGAGCAGCGGGCAGCAGGAGAGGTCTGCGCGCCATGCAGGACCCTCCTCCGGTGGCCGGGAAGCAGCCGGGGATCGAACCTGCAGCACAGAGGCAGCAGGCAGCTTCGCAACCCAGCGCTCAACTGCTGCGCCACCTGGGAGGCCCCTCCAAAGACTTTTGACATCAGGAAAAGACCAAATGCTTTCTTTTCAACGCCTTCAAAGTGTTGAAAAAGAAATTAGAATTATGTGGGCCTCAATCTACTTTCCAGCCTGAATTTTCCTTATTCACTTTTCCTTATTCACAAAGCCCCAGAATCTAGCATCTTTCCTCATGGGTCTCCTCCACACTCTGGGTGGGTCTCGCTCCTGTCAAATCTGATTCCACTGCCTAGAATGACCACCCCCTATCTCCACACAGGACTGTTTCCTCTCCTCCATCCTTCTGGTTCCATTTCAAATGACTCTTCATGGAGTTCTTCACTGGCCTCTCTATCTAAAGTAGTCCTCTCTTCACCGTTCCACCACACTATTTTTTTCATTTAATCACCATCTATAAAAGTGTGTATATGTTCTACCACTAGAATACAAATTGTACCCTGAGCAGGGGTCTGGTTTATCCTATCCTCATTTCCTAGGACCCACAATACTTGCCATAACAGCACTCAAGTATTTGTTTCATCAATAAATACTCAGCTGGTGGCATGGTCGACTTACATGCTGAACTGGAAATAAGTATTTGAGTTGTATCCGGACTTGGCTCTACCAGAAAGTAGCTGTGGAGCCTTGAGCATGGGACAAGAGTAACTGGATTGTCATAGAGTGGAAAGCAAATATGAAGTTTTTTTCCTAGATCTCCTGGTCTAAATTCTAGAATAGAGACCTAGGGACGCCTTGAAGCTGAGTCTCAGTTTCCTCCTCTGTATGAGATGACTTTCAATGTGACTTTCGGCTCAGAAATTAGAATTATGTGGGCCTCAATCTACTTTCCAGCCTGAATTTTCCTTATTCACTTATCTACACCCCTCCTACACCCACCAACCAAGTCAAGGAGCTCATCCTACAACCAAACACCACACGAAGCACTTCACTGACTTCACCTTTTGCTCCTGCACCTCTTCTCCAGTTCTACACACTGGAAATACCAACCTTCAAAGCCCAGCTGACTTATTAAGTTCCTCACAGAGTGAGTCAATCCCCTGCCCTCACACTAGTATGATCGTGTGTTCAGGAAAGTCTTGTATGCTTCAAATTAGATTAAACCCGATTCTCTCAGCCAGTTCCCTCCATAAAACGACGGTATTATTTGCAATTCCATATACTACTGTTGGCTAACTGAGAATACTTAGCTCAATGACAAAGGCTTGAATAAATGTATTACTTGTTTTATATATATATATATATATATATATATATATGTAGTTTTCCTTGAATGTCATCAATATGGATCTGTCATCTCTGAATGTCTAAACCTTTGAGGCCATTTTACCTCCCAAAGCCGAGCTTTCATATGCATAGAACGAAAGGAAAGGACTAGATTACACACTGCCTTCAAACATGAAGTTCTCTGTACTCTCACATAAATAGTTGAAAGCAAAGAAGCTCCAGATGAATTTTCTGACTTTACTCCTGCGTAAAGAGCCTCAAGCAAACACGCTGCAGGTGAGCTGGGAAGGAGGGAAAGTCAAGGGGAGCTGAAACCACGGCTGCAAGTGGAGGCAGGTTGGGAAGAGTGAAGGTTACGTTGTGGTTCTGGGGATCCTTTCCAAAGAAAACCTTGCCACCGGGGTGGATCCTGTGAACTGCTTGAACTGGGCGACAATATTGAGGGGAGCCTGCGCCCCCAAGGAGAAAAAGAGCATGGCAGTGAAAAGATCAGTCGCAGTAAAGAGGAAAATGTTTGCAAAGTCACAAACGGACGACTGTGGACAATGAACCCGAGGCCTTTCACCTGACCCTAACCGCGAGGAGCGGGAAGATGACTCAAGACCGCTGGAAAGGAGCTGGGGCCGGTCAGAAAGGCAAGCGCGCGCGCAGGGGCGAGCGGGCGCTGCGGAAGCGGTGCAACCTCAGCCCTCGGCACCTTTCCCAGGCCGGCCCCCGCCCGCAGCCCGCGGTCGCAGCCCCGGCCGGGACGCCTCAGCAGCCCCGCTCCCCGCCCCCGTACCTGCGGGGTCGAGCGCCATCTCGGCGGGTGGATGGATGGCAGCCGGCGGCCGCTCCCGGGCAGGGGGCGGGGAGGGGAGGAGCCTGGCTCGGGCTACACGTGCGGTCGCCCGAGTTTCCAGCGGGAGGAGGCGGCGGCGGAGGAGGAGGAGCGCGGCGCCCTTCCCCGAGCGCGGCGGACCCTTCCCTCGTCCTTCCGAGGCGCTACTTCCGCCACCCACTGCGCCTGCGCCTGGCTGGCCCCGCCCCTGATCCTGAAACTCCCCGGTGGAGCGGACTTCGCGGAGGGAATGACAGGGAAGGGGCGTGGCCGCAGCGCGCCGTGGGGGCGGGGCCGGGCCCGGCCCGCGCAGCCGCCGCGCGCCGGGCGTGAGGCGCTGCTTGCTGCGCCCGGAGCCGGGGGCCTCTGGGGCCGCGCGTGGGTCCCGGTGCAACCGCACCCGCCACACCCGCTTTCGCAAAACCAAATTAATTTTTCTGTTCCTTTATTCTTCGCTAACATGCATTCATTCATAAATGTGCGTTTCCTGCCTGCCATTTTCCAGTCACCGTTCTGAATACGGGGGGGGGGGGGGGTGTGCAATAATTGAACATAAATAAGGTCCCCGTTCTCGAGGAGCAGTGTTGACAGCAGAGTCGGATACAGGCAACACGCAGTTAGACGTGATTAGCGCCACACGCGCGAATACGCACAGCTTATTCGACCAAGGTGGGGAGTGGCATAGTGGTGTTTCTCCCAAATCAGTAGCGTGTGGCTCCCCTGGAGGTTAAAATTAAAAAATAGGCACTTGGGGTACTCTATTTTGTGAAATAATATTCTCAGGGCAGACAGCTCTGTCAAATCCCAGCTCTGTCCGTCAATTATTTCTGTTTTATGAGATAAACGAAGGAAGGTGATAGTCATCCTCCTTTTCAAACCCCCAACTGCCCTCTTCTCAAGGCAGAAGAAACTTTCTGGGTGGCAGCTATGCTCATTTCCACTCACCAATCAGCCTTCAGAAATCCTTCCTTTTCATATCCAAGTTTTGCTAGCTGGAGCCTCCAAAGGGTGAGGTGCGGCTGGGGACAGATGGGACAGATGTTAGAAAAACATGGAGCAGCTGCTTCTTCCCTGTGAGGGATTTAGGGCTTTCAAAATGATCCCCTCCCCACCTACCTGCAGTCCCTCCTCCCCTGCTGCTGCTTCCGCCTGGTCAGTTGGCAGAAAAGCTGACGCAGTTGAGCAGGGCTAGGAAAGTGGGTCTCTGCTCAGCAGGTCTTCCGTTTAAGGGCCTATTTGGGCATAACGGTCCTTACTACAGCTGTAGGTTAAGATGCCAAGGTAAAGAATTAATGTTTCCTTCAGACTGGCAGGAAATCGGGTCCTTTTCCTTGTAATTTTACAAATGTGCTTAGAAACACACCAATTCATTATGGGGACCTTTTTATTTTTCTGGAAGAGGTGAAGGAGTTAATTTAGAATGTAAATATTTTTGAGGAGACAGTGAGGTATAAAAACACGGGTCAGGCACACACTTAAGTAATGAAATCTTCCTAGATACAAAAAGCTATCAGACAGAAACACGGAAAGCTTTTCTGAAAGACCTAGGTCACTCACCTCCACCTGAAACCTGCATCATGATATGTGTGACTTATTTGAGCTCCAAGGTTTCTCTGTACTTTGGCTTCTAACTTCCAAGTTTCTTGTAAGAAGCAATGTGTGATCGTCATCACACTGTTCCAGTCATTGAAGAATCACTTTTACAGTTGTTGCCATAAATATCACTTGAACCATTATTAATACTTTTTTACTTAAAACAACTCACATTTAAAAAATGATAAATGGACACTCTCTACTTTAGCCTCATCCTAAGCCATAACTGTAAAACCATGTTTGATGTGTCCTATAAAATAGACTGTTAGACATATCACACTAACAAGAAGCACTAGCAAAACTAGCACCTCAATGCCTGCTACAAAATAGTGTACTCCTCTCCTTTTTCACATTTAGCTAGTTTGGGAGCAAAGTATTTACATTGTACTGGGAGAGACATGCCATTTTTTAAGCTAAATCAAAGAAATTTAATTAGCTATTTAAAACAAGAAATTTCCTAAGATATCACATTATTAATAGACAAATATTTGAGCAATGACTGCAATAGAAGCATAAAGAAGGAGGGAGCACCTTATGCTGGAAAATTAAGGATCTTCCATGGTCTCTAGGGCTCAGGCAATATATGACAGCTAGTGGTCTCGTTGTACCTTTCACAAAGCATTGACTGGTTTTGAAAGATTTCAAAGATGAGGTAGAAATTATGTTTGACTTTGAAAGGTAGGTAGCATGCCAGAGGGGAAGACTCAGGTGGGGAACAAAGCAAGAGGACCCAATGGTCTATGGTGGAGGATTATGAGTGCTTTCATGGTGTGTGTGTATGCGGTAACACATATCTAAAGAGGTATGGACCAAGTCCCCTAAATCAAACAGTGCTGTGAACCACTGTTATCTCAATTCTTTAAAAATGTTACAAAAAGAGAAAAGCTGTGTTATATATACACGATGGAATACTACTCAGCTGTAAAAAAAAAATCAAACATGAAATTTTGCCATTTGCAACAACATGAATGGAACTGGAGGGTTTTATGATAAAAGAAGTAGGTCAGAAGGAGAAAAACAAATACCAGATGATTTCACTCCTATATGGAATATATAGAAACATAGCAGAAATAGACAAAAATTAAACCAAAACAGACCCTAGAAGTCTGGTTGCAGAATTGAGGCCACAGATGGGGAGGGGAGGGAGAGCAAAGTGTGGAAGAGACCCAATGGGCTATGATGGAGCGCTGTGGCTGACGTGATGGGGGGGGTGTGGTGGGGTAACATACATTTTAAGAGGTGTCAACCTATACCTCTGAATTATATAGTGTTGTCAACCAACATTACCTCAATAAATAATAATCATACAATTTTAAAAAATGAAGATGAGTAGCATGAGTAGGCAAAGAATAAGGTATATCATACTAAGACCAAATGAAGAAAAGTTTCTGGAATCTGAATTGTTCTTAAAGGACAAGTGAAGCACAGAAAAACTGGAGGTAAGGAACGGAATTTGCAATAGCACAGGGCTGGAAAACACAAGGCTGAATGGCAGGCATGTGAAGCCACTTCAATGAGCTTGAGGATTTAGAAAGCTAGGGTAGTTATAAATGAGACTGAAAATGGTAGAAAAGACCAGATTCCCAGAGCCTGAAACATTCGACTAAAGAGTGTTTGAATTTGTTGTTGTAGCCAGTCTGAAGCTGTTGAAGGTTAACAAGCAGGAAAATGCACTATAGCCAAAGTGATATTTTCTGAAGAGAGAGTGCATGATAGACTTAGATGGTAAAGTGCGAGCCAGGAGATAAGCAGAACAGCAAGGAGGCTATTGAAGTTCAGGAAGGAAATGAAAAGAGCCTTTACTAGAATGTACAGAAAAGTAAAAGAAAAGGTGGATATGAGAGAAATTGGAAAGGAAGTAGCTAGCTTTTTAATTTGACATAGGAGAGCAGAACAAGATGTCAAGGAGGATTTTAGGCAATTCTATTCCTGGGCAGATGTCTAGAGGTAAATGAGTTAGGCAATGAACTCACTCATCCCTCCAACGGTCCATCCTCAATCCTCATTACTGAGACAAGGCCAAATCAGAGAAACCAGTTAAGAGGAAGTTGCAGTGACCCCAGGGAAAAAGGGCTGATCCGCAGTAGAGCATGTGAAGAAAAAGAGATGAGAGGTATCTGGCACAGAACTAGACATTAATATACATATATTCATACATACCTCTATTATTTAGTCTAATACTCAAGGAATGTTCAAGTACAAACTAACATCTTAATTGTTTATTGTGTCCACTCTGGTTGGATCTAGCATTCTTTTTTTTTTAAAAAAAAAAAAGATTTATTTATTTATGCATACAAGAGCTGGGTATAGGCCAGAGATGCAGGGGGTGAGAGGATTCACCAGAGACAGAGTGGAGAACAGAACAGGCAGACTGACTGAAATACACTGCTGAGGGGAGCAGCGGGCGAGTCAGGAGAGGTCTGCTGCACCATGTGGGTAGCTCCCTGGCCGGCCGGGAATTGAACTTGTGCTGCAGAGGCTGCGGATTGTTTCATAGTGCGGTGCTTAATCCCTTGTGTCACCAGGGAGGCCCTAGCATTCTATGTTCCTAGATAATTATGTTTTTTTTTAAGATTTATTTATTTATTTATTTATTTATACAAGCACTGGGTACAGTCAGAAGTGCGGGAGGGTGAGAGGATTCACCAGAGCCAGAGTGGGGAACAGAACAGGCAGACTGACGAAATACACTGCCGAGGGGAGCAGTGGGTGCGGCAGGAGAGGTCTGCGCACTAGGTGGGACCCTCACCGGTGGCCTGGGAGCGAACCGGCGCTGCAGAGGCTGAGGGCAGCTTCGCAGCCCATGGCTCAACCACTGCGCCACCAGGGGAGGCCCCCTAGATAGTTATTTTTTTTTTAGTTGAGATGGTCAGTCTGCCCTACTTGCTTTCAACTCTGCCCAGCATCAGAATTAAAGACTCTCCATATTTAATTCTGCTCTTCACTATCTTTAAGCCAAGGAGAATAAAATTTAGGAGAATATTAGAAGCCCTACCCTTACCAGTAGATGGAGTTTGGAACTAGTTCTTGGCTAGATCACTCTCCAAGGATCTCTGGTGGCCAGTCTGCTTTCTGAGAATGATTTAACTCCTATATCCCCATGGTCTGTGCCCCCCATTGATTGGAATAGACTTGGGTCCAGGTTGACACTTGTATTTGTTTTCTAGGGCTGCCATAACAGATTACCACAGCTTGGTTAGCCTATACCACAGAAATTAATTTTCTTATAATTGGAGGCTTATAATTGACCTCTCTCTTCTTGGCCTATGGATGGCCATCCTCTTTATCTCGTCACATGGTATTTCCTCTGCATGTCTACATCCAAACTTCCTTTTCCAGTAAGGGAAGCTATCAGTTGGATTAGAGCCCATGCTAATGGCCTCAGTTTTACTTTATTATCACTTTAAAGATGATGTGTTCAAATACAGTCACATTCTGAGGCATTGGGGCTTAGAACTTCAATATAAAAATTTCCAGGTACACAATTGAACCCATAAAGCCATCTAGTTCTGCACAAGAAATAGAATCCTTTCTTGAATCCCAAATCACTTGCTTAAGGTCCTAACAAGCTGTCCAGTAAAGCCTATCCAAATATCAGTATACCCTGTTTCCGCTGTCTCGGTCGTTGAATAGGGCCTACTTCACTATAGCTCAGTCCACCCAGACACATAGGTCAGCTCCAACTGCTCCTCATTGTTCACATTCAACTGATCACACCATATACTCAAGTCTCCTTGAACACATCTTTGTTTCATCTATCAATCACACCATCCTAATTCTTAGTCCCAGATCCACTCACTTTTACAGACATGGTTATAAGAGCCTCCTAACTTGTTTACTCTTCCTAGGATTTTTTTCTTCCATTGATTCTCTCTAATCCATTTCACTCACAACAATTATGACCATAATATTTCTTATGGAAAATTCCATACAAATAAAATCCAAACTATTCCCTAATAGCAAGGTTTACAAAGTTTATAACTAGTCCCAGCTTGTCAAGTACATCAACCCTCCATAACCAACCTTTGGTGCTCTGTATTTTCCACTACAGAAACTAACTGCAAAAGTTATTAAAGTCTCTGTGGAGACTTTTTTTGTGCACTGTACCAGAAAAACAGGTAAGATTATCTGTTGATCATAAAATCTTGAAAATAAATGCAGAGAAAGTACAACTGGAAAGAGAGGGAATTGGGAACAAAACAAATTCTAATTATTTCCCATTTGGTTAATTTTAAATGAGATATAATATACATGAAGGACATAAATATTTGTTCAGGTAAATTAATTTTTGCATATACAGACACTAAAATACCATAGATGTCAAGATATAGAATATTTCTAGACATCCATAACTGCCCTTGATTTCCACCTTACAAGCCTGGAACTCAGACTTGGATCTGAATTACCATCCAAAGCAGCCTGGAAAGCCAGGGGATCCACAGCCAGAACACCCACACCCAGGCTAGGGATACCAGGTTGACAGCAGGCCTCATCAAATCTGGACTGGGGCACCACTTCAAACTACAGCCCCAGAAGAACTAGGGTTAGACAAACGAGACCCCAGAAAATCTGGACCCTGCCAGGGGAACATAGATAAACCAGCGGGACCCAATGGAATAATACTGGGCCTCAGATTTGACCAACAGACTCACAATAACCAGCTCCTCTAAGGAGGCTAAAGACCAGGCAATTCTGACAAGGAGCCTCAGGCTCTGAGGTTCAGTATTTGGATCCCCATACTACCTGGGGCTCCAAATTGAACCTGAACCAGCATCAGAAGCAGCCTGGGACTCCTGGGACTCCAGAGCAGCCAATAGCTGCACCCAGAGCCGGCTGCATCTGAAACAAGGCTAGTGCTACAGGTCAACCCGCAGGGCCCACCAGCAAAAGCCATGGTTACTGGTTCAACTTATAGACACACACACAAAAAAAAAAAAACAGGATTTGGCTGTGAAGACCCATGAGCCCTGAAAAACTAGACCCCTCCTGGGGCATGTAGGGAAACCAGTAGGTCCCATTCAAACCACCCTGAAGACTCAAGATCCAGTGACAGCTCCACTTGAACCAGTCTCCGGCTCCCGAGCACCAGGAGTTGGCACTGCCCAGTAGGAAATGAGACCTCTTCGATCAGTTGTCTGGGGCCCTGAGGAGCTCCTCCCTCCTCCCTGATGCTCCTACTTGGACCTGAAGTCTCATGCCAAGAGCCAGACTCCCAGGGATCTGGAGCCAGCTGCACCTGCAACTAGGCTAGTGCTACAGCTCGACCAGCAGGCCCCACCAATAGCCTGGAGGTACCGGTTCAAGCAGTTAACTACAAAAAACCAGACTTTGGCTGGCAAGACCCATAAGCCTGGAAAACCTAGACCCCTCTAGGGCACATAGGTAAACTGGAAGTTCTCATACGAACCAAGGGAGCTTCAAGATACACCGACAGCCCCACTTGAACTTGTCTCCGGCTCCCAAGAACCATGAATCAGCACTGCCTGGAGCTCTGAGGTGGAGCAGTTGCGTCTAGAGCTCTGAGGTTGACCAGATGGTACAACCATACTTCCCTGTGCTCTGACTTGGACCTGAAGCCACATAAGAAGCAGCCTGGGGTTCCCAGAACTCCAGAGCCTGCAATACCTGCACCCAGCCTAGGGACTGCAGGTCGACCAGCAGGTCCTGTCCCCACCAGCCTAAAGATACCAGTATAAATGGCAAGCCCATATGGACAGAGGGCAGCAACCCTGCTGAGTCTAGGGCCCCTAGGTTGAACAGTAGGCCTCATTAGCACCAGAGTGAGAGTACCAGTTCAACCTATAGACACACCAGTTCTAGGTTTTGGCTGCTGAGACCCATAAACCCAGAAAACCCAGACCCACTCCTGGGGCAAATAGTTAAACAGCAGGCCCCATTCGAACCACCCTGGGCCTCATGGTTCTACCAACAATCCCACTCAAATCATTTTCTAGCTCCCAACCTCCAAGAGGCGGCACTGCACAGACTGATTCTTGAGCTCTGAGTTGGACCAGTTGGCCCCACCGTATTGCCTCGTGTTACAACTTGTACCTGAAGCATCTTCGAAGCAACCTGGGGCTCGCAGGGATCCACAACAGGCAGGAACTGCATCCAGACTAGGCCTACAAGGTCAAATAGCAGTCCCCAGACCTGGCCTCCTTGCTGGCACACAGGAGGCTGAGTGCAGCACTGTGAAACTGTCCTCAGTCTCTGCAGTGCGGGATAGATCCTGGCCGGGGAGATATCCACATAGCACGGCAGACATCTCCTGTCTAGCCTGCTGCTTCCCTCAGCAGTGTATTTTGGTCAGTCTGCCTGTTCTGTTCCCCCCTCTGTCTATGGTGAATCCTCTCACACTCCTGCACATCTGGCCTGTACCCCAGTTCTTGTATAAATAAAAAAAAATTAAAAAAAAATATAGCAGGCACCATCAGCAACAGCATGGGTTATAGGTTCTACCTACTGCCCCACTAGAACCAGGCTCAGGCTGCTGTGGTCCATAGCCAAGATTAACTGGACCCCTCCTGGGGCACATAGGTAAACCACAGACCCTACTGGAAACACCTTGGAGCTCCAAATTCCACTGACAGCCCCACTAGAACCATTCTCAGCTCACGATGCCCAAGGCAGGCACTTCCCAGAACGAGCTTGGAGATGTGAGGTCCTAACACCATTCCTGTTGGATTGCTTTGAACATTAAAAATGTCCTGTAATGAACACGGAAGAGCTATTCAGGACAGAACAGATTGTTCATAAATCCTGGCTATTGTTCCCATATTGATTATCTTTTAGTTTAAGAAAACTATCCTTTTGGATTATGACGGTACAGCAGTCATGTTTGTTGATTTTTTTTTAAATGTAATAGTTCAGGCCTACTTTGCAGAAATGTGGGTAATAATATGCTTAAATCAGTATTATGTGAAACACCCTTCAAATGAACAAAGAAGATTTAGCAGTGCCTCCTATCACTTATCAGGTGAGAAGAACAAGTGTGAAAAGAATCACCTCTCACCTCTGTGGAGTAGTTTCTATATTTTAGGTTTGGTTTTACTTTGTATTGTTTTCTCGGTGGCCTTATTTGAAACACACCACAATTTTCTTTGGGGTCACTTACTCCTAAAAAAAACAAGAATAATGGCTGATATTGGGGTTCTCTTACCTTGGTCTTGTGCAGATGCTGTGATTCTTTGTAGAAATCCTCACAGGAGCTGACAACCTTGGCAAACAGTAAACTAATGCTTTTTGTTGACACTGAAACTGAAATACCAGTGACAGTTAGGTGGCCAGCTGTACTGCAAACATCACAAGCATCTTTGCTTACTTAAAGGAACTAAAGTCAATGAAAACCTTACCTTTTTACACCAAATGTTCTGCAGTGTTATTCTGACAGAGAACAAACTTCCTGAATCTGTTATTCACCCCTCCCCCCAATCAGAGAACCTACTGAGTGCTATGCACTGAGCTAGAGCCTGGAGCAACAAAGGTTAGTAAGATGAAGCTCTGAGTTTAGAAGAGAGACAAACACACCCACAAATCATTCATGGTGAACAAATAATCTCTGATACTGTGTAATGACAAAAGATGATGTAGTTTAGGAAAGGGAAAAATTAATTTGACTTCCAGAAGACTTTCTATAAATGCTTCTATTTGCTAAGACTTTCACAAAGTATTTAACAAGAGGAAGACAAAAGGAGTCTTAATTGGCAATGTCTTACTCTACAGAATAGATAAGGTTAACTATGACAAACCTCAAACATGGACAAAATAGATAGATTAGTCACTACTTTGGAGCCACATAAACAAGACCCAAGGGTAAAAAGAATGCAATGGGGAGAATTGCTATCAAGCTTCGATGTTTTCATATGTTATTCCCAGACAAAACAGTTCCATGTCATTGATTTTAGTATCTTTATCAATTGGATATGATGCAGTAAGTCCAAATTCATGGCTCACAAAAGCTCAGATCTTTACCTTCTGTCAATTGCACTTACTCAAATAAGTTCTGTTAACCAAATTAATCCCACGGCATGGATAAAAGGTTTCCTATAGAAATTATGGTCCAGTAGCAATGTGATTTCAAGTGATTCTCCTTTTGAATGGGGGTGACTGTGCTTTATGCAACACTGTGGCTCCAGCACCTCTCACAGGCATGGCATCTGGCAAAAAAAAATGTTTGTTGTACATAGTCTTATTAACAGAGAATGTAAGAGCTACATGTGTTTACATTTCTTTACAGAACATGTCTTATACACCGCTCCAAATCCTCTCAGTCCCAACTCATATGCAACCACCAGTGCACTGTAGCATTAACCAGCCCATGTAGGTACAATCTGGAAGTGCCTTTTCCCTGTCACTGGCTCCTCTAATATGGAACATTTGCAGGAAGCCTCTCAGCAGACACACGCACACACACACACACACACACACACACACACACACACCCAGCTGTGCAGGGGAAACTAATGCCTGTGGGGTCATCTTGATCATCATGGCTAGAATTCAGTGGATGAATACTAATTGTTATTCACTGGACAGATAGTTCTAAAGCACTTTTGATAAGACAGCCCCAAAGGTCTTCTGGTATCCAGCACTAGTCACCTGTAAAGTGGGAAGCAATAATACTACATTCATGCCATATTTTTCCTTCTCCCCTGTTTCACTATTCCCTGTCATTCACTCCTGCTCCTGGGATTATCTTCCATGACAATCCACTTGTACACAACCCAGGCTAAAAGAGCAATTGTTTATTGCTTCTCACTTCCTGTTTAAATTGATTCAAATTGGTTTCTACTCTTTGAGACAATGTCTCAAAGACACTGTCCTAAAGAAAACAAAAACCTGCAATGATTCCCTCACTGCCCATAGAATAAGGTTCTATAAGCAATAGTTCTGAATGGGGACATGTGGAAATATGATCCAGAGTCTACATTCTTGCTCTTGCATAGCACTTCTCTAGAGCCATGTAAATATCCATCAGCCTCTCCCTATCAAATGTCCCCTGACTATGCAACATGCTTTTGGGAATACATGAAAATCTAGGCACAAAACCCAGCTTATTGTCTACAGAAAGACTACCATTTGTCTCTTCTTTTCCGGTTGTGAGCTTGTCTAGATTCCGTTTTATTATTTCACTATCTATTACTAAAGTTTTAGGTTGTTCTAATTTATTTTAAATTAGCACTGGGGTAAATATTTTAAAGGAAAGCTTTTCTCTCCAGCTCTGTCCTAGAAGTATAATTATTGTGCCAACCACTGAGGATAAATTGTCGACAACAGGTAAAGTCATTTTAAAAATATTTGCTGAATTGATATAAACAGATATTACTATGCATTAATTTTTGTTGGTAAAATTTACTAATATTTAAATGATAAACATTTTGTATGTTTAATAACCTTTTTGTTGTCTTTCTATGAATTGTTTTTCCCTATTCTTTCTCATTATTTTTTTTTTTACTTTTTTTTTTAAGATTTATTTATTTATACAAGCATTGGGTACAGTCAGAAGCACCGGAGGGTGAGAGAATTCACCAGAGCCATAGCGGAGAGCAGAAGAGGCAGACTGATGAAGAAGTACACGGCTGAGGGGAGCAGCGGGTGCGGCAGGAGAGGTCTGCGCGCCATGTGGGACCCTCAACAGTGGCTGGGGAGCGAAACTGCGCTGCAGAGGCTGTGGGCAGCTTCGCAGCCCAGCGCTCAGCGCTCAACCGCTGCACCACCAGGGGTGGCCCTCTTTCTCACTTTAAAGTGAACTATTATTTTTCTGACTGCAGGGCTATCCAGGGCCTTCTGCATTCCTATTACTGAAGTAATGCTACCATTTATGTTCAATGATGTAAAGACATAAGGAAACAGAGAAAATCTTATAATGAAAAGTATGAGAAACTTTAAAAATGGAAAGTTACATTGCAAAAAGTTTGTGGGCCATTGGTGTAGGCCATCCTCCATGCATGGGCTAGTTTTCAGCCTTACTAGAAAATAGCCCCTCGTCACTCCCAAGCTTAACTGCTTAACTGTTCCCTAGAGTCTCATGTTCCCCTGCCAAGGGAGTTCTTCATCATACATCAAAGTTATCGGAGGGCTCATTAAACATGGCTTGCTGGATCCCATGTACTCCTTGCTCTCACCCCCCTGATTCTTGATTCTCTAGGCCTGTGGAGAAGTGAATTTGTATTTCTCACCCACCCCAGGACATGTTAATGCAACTGATCGGGGGGCCACACTTTGAGAATCCATATCCTACAGATGAAGATAACCACCGCTCTTGCCTCTCTATCTGGCTCTGGTTGGCTTATCCCTCTCCTTCTCATCATGCTGCCCCCCTCCTCCTAACCCCAATGTATCTTGCTGTCTACTCACCTATGTTTGCTTCACTTAGACCCCTTCAGGAACTATCACACACTTCTATGCCTGGCAGTGTCTATTTCCTACCCAGCTCACATGTCCCTCCTCTCTTTAGCCATTCCTTACTCTCGCAGAGTATTTTAATGAGTCCACAGACTGTTTATATCTCTTTTTTCTACTGATGCTTTGTTTTAATTATTTTCTATCAATCAAACCTCTGGGGTTTGTCGGCACAGGGGCTAGATCTCACTTTTGTATTTCTGATGACCCATACACTGTCTGCCAGGAACAGCTGCTGGGTGTATGCTGAACCTGTGATTTGTGTAAACTTAATTTAATTATTTGTAAAAGGCCTAAGCCATTGGTGCTATATATGACACCCCCAAAGATTCCTTTTTTAAATAATTTATTTATTTATATGTATTTTACATCATTATTCTTTTTGTACAATGTCTGCTTTTTTTCCTTTCATTCTCTTAGGATGTGAGACCTAGGAGACCTGACTGGGGCTTCTTTCAACTCCTTTCAATTATTGCCCACAGCTTTCTTTACTCATTAGATCTCATATTCAACTTGTCTGTGCAGCTGACATCCACCCCAGGCCTTGCTGATCATGCGTTTGTTTGATACTCTGCAGTGTTCGCTTTGGTATCCTCATTTACTTCTTAAGGTTCTGAGTACGTCCTCTAATTCTCTGCTCAGTAGGCTCCAAGACCTCTGCTTCCTACCAGAATAGCACAGCCACTTTGCCAAATCTGATTTGACTCACTAACACTTGAATTTTAAACTGGTAACAACCACAAGGTTTGTGGCTCATCCAGTTGCAGGTACGATAGTCTAGAAAAAAGGTCCTCACCTTCTATTTTCCCAAGGTTCCACCCATAAACACCTTTCTTCTGGCCTTGGCTCACTATTAAACCATTCTTCAATTCATTCTTCAACTCAGGGCTTGCACAAAATAATGGTGTGACATCACCTACTATTCCTCTTCAAACTATTTATTATTAGATTCTGAAATCATAAAAAAAAAAAGTGGGAAAAGCTCTAGGCTGGAAAAGAAAGAATAAAATTTCAATCACAACCCACCTGTGAAATATTGCTAGTGACAGCCTCTTCAAATTACCAGTAAGAGGGCAACATAAGCTAGAGTTTCAGAAGTATGAATAACCCAACTATTCATTAATTATACCAGAAGCATATAGTATTCCAATTATAGATATTATTATCCATGAAAAACTGCGTACCCTATTTACTTTCAGGATGAAATACACTTCGAATTTGTAAATTAATTTTACTTTGTAGATTGGCTTTAAGTGTAAGTGACAGTATATTTCTCCCATAGGGTAATAGGTTAAAAACAAAACAGAAGAATCTTTGTTAACATCTGATAACCCAAGAGCAAGAAATAATAGGTAAACCACCATGTCAAGCTTCAGATTAAAAGTTTTAATTATATTTGGGTCCAATAAATTGACATGAGCTTGATTTTATCCCTAGTAGATGAAACTGCCTATAATTTGTAATTGCAAATAACTACTGATAACAAATCAGAACAACAGGTGATACATGGTCTTATAAACATTATTCTCTAGTGCTGGAATAGTGTTCTAATTCTGATTCTTTAATCTCTTGATCAAAGTGTGGGCCATTTTCTCAGTTTTAAGATATAAAGTTTTAAGATATAAAGATATTATTTCCCAGTAAAAGAGGAACAAAACAACCTTGAGGTGCCACTACAAAAAAAAAATGGGTAACAAAAATACCCAATAATGTCTGACTTAAAGCATTACTGTCAATATTAAATAAGGACATTATCAATGCTAGCAAATGCATGACATACAACTGGGTGGGGGGAGAAGTAAAATGGATAAAGAGTAAAAAGATACAAAACTCCAGCTATAAAATAAGCCCTGGGAATATAATGTAGAGCATGGTGACTACAGTCAATAATACTACAGTGTATGTTTGGAAGTTGTTAAGAGAGTAGATCTTAAAAGTTTTCTCATAATGGAAAAGATTTTGTAACTGTGTGGTGATAGATGTTAACCAGACTTTTTGTGATGATTTGTATCATTTCACAATACATACAAATATCAAATCATTATATTTTTGTGCCTCAACTAATGTAAAATAATGTGAATTAAATATCATACTAATAAAAATTATGACTCCTATGCCTCAAACTTCCTGTCCACCTGAAGCTATATAAATTAGTATTTGTCAATGACTCAGAAGATATAAAATATATTGAGATTTGCATAATACTTATGTTAAATTTTATCTAACTTGATGGGTATGGAAAAAAAGACTATCCAGGGAAGAACAAATCTATAGGTGTTTATTTAGTAGACTCAGAACTGAGTTACCAAATGAATTTTCTATTATATCTTACCTACCTGGACACTTGCAGTACTTTAATTGCTAAGCTTCATAGTTAACTTATCCCAGGTCCCTGATACAACCATTATTCTCTTTTTTAAATAAGTTTTTGTCATTTTCATTCTTGATGGTCCTATTTACATGTTTTAAAAGGTGAATTTAATCATTTATTGAACATGTGGGGGAGATAAAAATACAGAAATATACTAACATGACATATTGATGAAAATCATCAGAAATCTCCAAGATAGTTTCCCTTAGCAAATATGCGATCAAGTTTTATATATATATATATATATATATATATATATATATATATATATGACATGAATACTACTTGTTTTAAATGGGAGTAGTGAAATCTAAATTCCATGAACTCTACAGTCATTTAAAAACTTCAATTTTAGGCCTCCCCTGGTGGTGGAGTGCTGGGTTTCGAAGCTGCCCACTGCCTCTGCAGCACCGGTTCGATCCCTGGCCACCAGGCAAGGGCCCCACATGGCGCGACAGACCTCTCCTGCCACGCTCACTGCTCCCCTCAGCAGTGTGCTTCGTCAAGTCTGTCTGTTCTGTTCCCCGCTCTGGCTCTGGTGAATTCTCTCACCCTCCCGCGCTTCTGACTGTACCCAATGCTTGTAAACATAAATAAATCAATCTTAAAAAAAAAACCTTCAATTTTATCTTATTCTACACCTTCTGTTCCAACACCAAACTTTTTATCAGAGCTACTGAATAATAAACAGAGCTCAAGAATATTTAACAACTTTTCTCATCATTTTCATAAGATATAATTAAGTATTCAAATTCAAATGATTAAAAATAGAGAGAATTAAGATGCCTGATTAATTTACAAGCAGAAAACTATGTTGTCCACTAAAGTGAGGCACCTCAGTCTGAACAGATAAATTTGGATTCATTAATGTAGTACAATGGGAAGAGGCTACAGGGCTTTAAAGTAGAGGGTATTAGTAGATCTTAAATGACTTGACAGTAGAAAATGAATCCATAATCAATTCCAGTCTAGCTCCCAGAGTTCTTAACAGGCATTCCTGGGTTCATTATAAGAGGTGTGCATAATGTTGCATGCTGAGGAATTTGTAATTATTTTTTGAGGCATAGGATAAGCTGGTAGTTGCGTAAAAATGAAACAGGACAGTGATTGCCCAGACTGGGTAGCGCAGGGGGTTTGGATGGAAACAGGTGAAACCAAGGGTATCTGAGAGGAGTAAATAGGATATGGTGAGAGATTAGATGTGGGGGAGACGAAGCAGGAAGAGTAAGGGATACATCCAGGTTCCTACTTGAGCAACTAAATGAAGAGTTCCTCAATCATGGGCATGGGAAACAGCAAAAGAGCAGGTTTGCAGGACAGTGAGACCCCAAGTCTCAAGAGTGTGTGTATGCGTGTACATGCATCATACTCACTGATGGGACTGAAGATGAGGCAACTATCAGGGCCAGCGGTTTAAACTTGGCAGGTGTAAGACTATACACAGTAACTGATCCACAGGAGTAAATGAGCTACACCAAGAAGAGATGTAGGAGGAAAACTAGAAGTGTGGGATAGCACAGAAGAGAAGGTAATATTTCAAAAAAAAGGAAGAGTATTTAGTGGTACTGAATATTGCTCAGAAGCCAAGGGAAAGAAAAAACGGGAAAGACGGTTCCCTGACTAGAGTGGTTTCAGTAGAGAAATGGAGACAGAAGTCAACTTGGAGGTGGAGAATAGGTGTTTATATACTCACACTCACAAACGTTCACAGTAGGGCAATAATAAATACAAGGTTAACATTTGACAGCATTTCCCTTGGTGCTGATAGATAAATTGTTGCTAATTTAATAGAACTGTTATTTTTTACGGAACAAAGAAATGTGTTTTGAATTTATGAAGAAAAACTTGCTTTCTTATGCTTTAAGTAATTGAATTTTTCCATGGAGGTACAACAACTTTATAACAACTTTTGCCCTATCATCCATCATTAGCATTGACTCAACAAACAAGGATGTCTACTTAGTATAAAGCACTGGGCTAATTTGGGTGAGGTGATGGGTTAGATAGATATGTGGCCAGATTTTAAAGTACTATAGGGAACTTAACATGCCTTTAAAATAACACACTAGGGCACTCCCTGGTGGCGCAAGAGGTTAAGCATCAGAACTATGAAGCAATCCACAACTACTGCAGCGCTGGTTTGACCCCCACCAGCGAGGTGACCCACATGGCTCAGCAGGCCTCTCCTGTCTCACCCGCTGCTCCCCTCAATGGTGTATTTCAGTCGGTCCGCCTGTTCTGCTCCCCACTCTGTCTCTGGTGAATCCTCTCACCTCCCGCCTCCCCACCCACATCTCTGGCCTACACCCCAGTTCTTGTATGCGTAAATAAATAAATCTTTTTAAAAAAAATAAAATACCACACTAGAAAGCATTAAGTGATGTGCACCACAAATATACACTTTGGCTTTAAAATATAAATATGGATAAATATTTTTATCTAAAGGCTCTTAATACAATACTTAGAATACTGGTTTTAAAGTTCCAGCTGTTATACTTGCGTGTCTCCAATAGTATCATTGCCTTTTCCCATTTATATCTGAAAAAGAACACACAGGTAAACTTAGGAAATTTACAAAATAATGAAGATGGGGCCTCTCTCTCAATTTGGAATTTCATGGATCAGACTATTAAAAGAGAACTTATACATCAGACTACCAAAAGAGATGTGATAAATTGGGTATTCATTTATCTATTCCGATTAGTCTATATGACAATGTCCAGGGAAAAAAATTAACTGATTATTCACTCAAATGTGATTCTCTTTTCTAGACTCCTTTCTGCCTATGGTCTTGAACTCTGTCTTTCTTTTCCTTCTTAATGTCTTATATTTAAAAATGCTAAGATAGTAGAGAATCTGAAATTTCTGCATTCCTTTTTTGAGGAGTCATGCAATTAAAAGTTGAGAATCTGCTTAGATGTTTGAGAAGCACAGATTACACTGAACAATCCACCCTTAAAAATTAAATAGAATGTTATAATCATAAATAGCTCTGCCTTGCAGTCATTTCTGTAATTTTGTCTAACATTCATATTGTCATTTGATTAGTTAATCATCCATTTTCAAAGGTGTGAATGTGTTTTCACACTTCTGCTAAGACAGTGTTAACTATGAAACTATAGATAGCAATAGAGATTAATTATCTATTGCACAAGTTCCCACACCTTGTGCTTACCAGATAGAGGAAGAGAGTGCATGTCTTAACACAGGTGTGATTTCAAAAAATGGAAAAAAAAACCCCACTTGGTCAAATGAGTTCAAAGAGCACTTTCAACTGACATATTCTGAAAATGTTAGCGCATTTACACTTTTAATTTTATTTCATAAAACAATTGATCTTCCATGTATAATAAGATTTGCTTTCAGAATCGATTGGTACATATCTTCAGTTTTAAGTAAGTGAATGAAGTGGAGGCATTTTACAAATGAGTTACTGCTTCATGGATTTAGGTAAGGGAACAGAAATCTATCAGCTGTTACTTCACTAGGACAACACCAGAAATTTTAGACATGTCTTCTGAAGGAATAATTAAAGATATGGATCCTCTGAGCACTCTGATAATGCAAAACAGTAATAGTA